ACTCTTTCTAGTGTTTTGAGTCTCTTTTATACCTCTGATACCAGCTGGAGAAAACTCTCTGCTTTTAAAGATTTTACTTATTTTTAGAGATAAGAGTAAGGAAGGGAGAGAAGGAGGGAGAGAAACATTAATCAGTTGCCTCTCGCACACCCTCAGCCAGGGACCTGGCCAACAACCCAGGCATGTGCCCCGACCTGCCCAACAACCCAGGCATGCGCCCTGGCTGGGAATTGAACTATGGACCTTTCGGTTTGTGGGACAATGCCCAACCTGCTGAGCCACACCAGCTGGGGCAAAACCTCTCTGCTCTTAAAGGGCTTATGTGACTAACCAGATAATCTCTCTATCTTAAGGTCAACTGATTAGTAACCTTAATTACATTGTCAAGAACCCTTCAAAACAGTACCTAGAATTAGTGTTTGATCGAGTAGCCAAGGATTGGGAATCTTGGGTAGCCATCTTAGCATTCTGCCTACCACCGCATAGCTACAATCCCCTGAAAAGTCATCCTTCAGTGTCCTTGACACTTGACCTTGAATGTTGAGAAGCTACCTGGTATGCGGCTCCCTTCTTTCAGTACTGATCGGAAGCCTCAGATTTCCCAGCTTCTTTCCCAAGATGCTGGCATCTGTTTTTTTTCTCATTCAAGACAAGAGACCAAGTCAGCCAAAAGTGCTAGTGTTTGTCCTGGGGAATCCTTCCTTCTGGAAAGTTTCTATGTAAAATATATAAAAAGCAAATCTTAAACATCCAACAGGAAAGACGTTGCATTTGTTAATGTTTCACGCTAGGTTTATTTATCCACTTTTCTGTCTTTGGGGCATTAATGATCTGTCCGGGAGGATGGACAGGCAAAGAAGTGATTGTAATTCACTGAGATGAATGCTCTGATAGGGTCATACAAGGTCACACGCTTCCTCTAATTGAAGACACCTTTGATTGCGGGGTGCACCCTCAAATTCCAACAGCCTTTTGGGACATTAAGAATACCTTATCAAGTGCATACGTTTTTAAAAACTTGATAGACAGTGGCAGACACTTATCACTGGAATTACTAGTCTGTTCTCTAAATCAGTGTTGGAGACAAGGTTTTTGTGAAGCATCTAACTCTGGACCCACGCAGCCATTCGTAAACTGTGAATCTGATCAATTCTATCTCGGGAGGTTTTTTGACCATTACTGAGAATTTAGTTAAAGTCACCCATCTGCAAGCAATGACAGTTGTGTTATTTTTCCACCAGCTGTTCTGTCTCCCTGGTATCCGGCGAGTTTCCTTCCATGCTGATTGTAAGACCTATCCCGATTTCAGAAGTATTACCCTGTGAAAAAACTTGGGACTTATTTTTGAAGACATTAGGGTTTTTAAAGTGCTCCTGGGAAACAAATGAAGCAGTGATTCAGTCAGCCTGGGGAAGAAGGTGGCATTTGAGTCGGGTCTGGCAAGTTGAGCAGGAGTTTCCGAGGCAGTTAAGGGGCTAAAAGGCACTCCAGGCCCAGAACAACCTGTACTGCAGGGCTTCCCTGAAGCCGCCCTCTTCACATCGCTCCACTCCCGCGAGACTTATGCATTCTCGAGGTCCCGGATCAATTCTATCTCCCTAAATGGCCAGTTAGCTCATTATTGCCATTTAGTTTTATTTATTCATCTCATATTTGCTAACTTTATACTTGCTGACAAATATTATTTCAAGTCGCTCATGGTAGAAAACTTGGTAAATACAAAGGAACAAACAAACAAACAAACAAACAAACCCCACAGAAATCCACTCGAAGTTCACCACCTTGAGAAACCACTGTGAATGTATTGGTGTAGACGCTTCAAGGTTTTTTCCTATGCACATCTGTATCCATACACTTTTAGAGCACCCAGAGGTATCACAATATGTTTATTAGTTCACAATTTATTATTTAGAGCACCCAATGGTATCCCAATATGTTTATTAGTTCATAGCTTATTATTTTTACTTGGTCAGTACAGTAGAAATGCTGGTCATTGTTCACCTACCCAGCCTCCCACTGAGGGATTTAACGCCCATCTCATAGTCTGTTGCCCTTCACCAGCTGCATCTCCTGACTGGGCTAAAGGGCTGGTATCCGATCCAAGGTCAGTGTCTGAGTCACAGACATACCCGTGGGGCGCAAAGATGAGCTGTGTCAATCATCTGACACCGTGTTATGGAATTGGGCAACTGGGATCATCCACAACGGAGCTGATGGTGTCAGGGTGCCACGACCTTGAAGTAAGGCCACAGCAAGTCAACAAGGAGCTGGAGTCATGAGGGAGTGGAAGAAACTAGAATGGAGGAAGCTGGCGCTGAAGAGAGGAGGGTAGAGCAGACCCAAGGAGAAGCAGAGATACCCAGCAGGACGAGCCAATCGCACGCCTTCAGTCTTCCATGAGTCCTGCTTTCTCCGGCTCTGGGCCCTTGTGTGTATTCATCCTAAATGCCTCCCTTCTGGCCCTTTTTCCTTCAGAGCTGAGGCGAGTGGGTCCCTGGTCCTTGCAGCCAGCATGCCTGACCAGCACCGCACCTCGTCCCCGGGATGGCGGCACAGCATTGTGTTGTGTGGAGGGGCCGTCGCTGACTTAAAAACCCAGTGATATTTCCAATAAGTATCTTCATCACTCATTTTTTTCACCACGAAGAATAATTTTGTTACACTCTGTGCCAACAGGCGGAATTCCTTGTTCGAGGGAGAACTGCATAATGCCCAGGTGGACTTCAGACAGACTGCATCAGTTTACAGTCCAGGCAGCAGGACGTGACCGTGGTTGAGTTTTCATCCCTTTGCCAATAGTATTAATTTAAAAAATGAAACAAAATGTTGCAACTCCGATGGGCAAGAAGTGGTAAGTGGTCAGTTACAGTCTTTGTGTGCATGTCTCTGAATGTGGTTATTGACCAGATGTGTGGGTGGGCTTTGCTGTCAGACACACCTGGGTTTGAGTTCCGGTTCCGCTTTTCACTGTGTGGCTCCAGTTGAATTACTTAGTTTTCCATGGTCTCATCTTCTCAAATTGGAGATAAAAATGCTTCTAACTTTGTAGGTTTATTATGAGGCTTAGATAAGAAAATAGATACAAAACAATTAGTCTAGTAAAAACTAAACTATTAGTCTACAAAAGTATTAGTCTAGTGAAAACTCTGTACATGTACTTATTATAGTTATGAAGAATGGCTTAAATTGTGGATACCAGATAAAGCTATGGGAGATATCTGAAACTCAATGGGATGTTGATTCAAATACCAGTTAGAATTGTATACGCCTAGGAGTAAGAAAGAATGCAAGAGCCCATTAGGTTCATAACCTTTATCATCGGAGAGACAATACATTTACTTATTTGGATAGCATATATTATTACACAGGTCTTTAGAATTAAAATTAAAACATATGTATGTATCTTAATAGCCAAGAAATATAAAATAAAACCAAAGATAAACTGGGTAGGTAGGACTCGCAGATTTCTAAGAGTAGTCAGAAGATGAGAGAGTTTTGAAATAGCTGACATAATATAAAAAGGGGCTCACAGTGACACTTGGCACAGTGAGAAAGACGGCTCTGGAAGCCCGCTGCTGAACTGTAGAAACCTCTGACAAAAAAATAACCTTAGCTAATTTGGTTGGAAGCTTTCTTAGCAGTTTTGTGTCTTTCAACTTAGAGACTTTTCAAGATTAAGTACAGGAAGGGAAAATGGGGTAAAAACAATGGGATTAATATACTGAGGTTAAGAAGAAATATGTTCATATTTTACATTTTATGCACTTGCAATAACTAAAAAATGGCTTATTAAGAGTGGCAACCTTAAAACTCTTATTTTAAATGTATATTTGAGTTAGTTTTAGGCTTAAGATTTCAAGTTGAAATCTTACTAAGCTTACACATGGAACTGGGCCATCTATGAACTTAGATTCATTATATTTGTAAGTTTATCTGATTTGTAAGAGTTACTAAGTATTAAAAAGTTTCTAGATCAGACAATTGAAGAAATTTTAAAAATCTAGTAAGTTTATTGACATGATTTTAAATGTTTGAAGGTGTTGAATTAACTCAGTTTGTGAATGGGACCAAAAATTCTTAAAAGATTCTGAAAAGTGATGGGTAAAATATAGAGGCCATAGCAGGAGCAGGGTCAGCGCCGAGCACGTTAAATTTGGAGTATGCGCGAGGTTCAGAGGTGAAAATGCCCCACTCTGCCGCTGAAAATGCTGAGTGGGGACCTCTTATGAATGGTGTAGTCTGGAGATGTCATTAGGGCTGTACACCACTTTAAGGTGAGCGTGGATAAAGTTACTGAGAAAGAGTGCAGAGAGAAAGAAACGGAAGAGGGCTGAGGACAGAATTCTGTCGAAGACCCATTATTTTAAGGGCAGCGGACAAGGTGCAAGGGGAAGGGGCCCCAAAAGGGCTGAGTCTCCCCTAAAAGGAACTTGCAAAGATCAGTGGCAGGGAATCTAATGGAAGGACGTTTGGACACATACATCTCCTGCTTTAGCAGCCAATTCTGAAATATCAGGAGGGTCGAGCAGTTCCAATCCGGCGACTGCTGGTGAACCCTAGAGAGGGCTGAGGCCAGACTGCCAGACTTTGCGGTCCCTTATGACAGTGTGGGTCCTGCTGGCGTCCAATGAGAACCCCCGGGGCACTTCGTAGGGCGCCCTCCTTGAGCCTTTTGGTGCAGAGTTTAGCTCGGCAGGCAGGGGAAGGAGTCCACGTGTTTCATTTCAAGCGACTGACAATGGCGACCTTTTGGTCCGAGGAGAGGATGAGGCGGGGGCGGGAGAGGTTAAGGATTCAGGGCCTTCCTTGCCAGCGGAGGTGTTCGCTAGCCGGACTGGTCGCTGGCTCCGCCCCCTTTCTTCCGCCTCCAGTAGGAGCCTAGAGAGCTCGAGGGGCGGGGCTAGGGGCGGGCCGGGCCGGCTCGGGCTCCGCCTCCTTCCGCCCGCTCCCTGCGGCGCGGCAGGGTGGGGCCGCCGGGGCGGGGCCGCCGGGGCGGGGCCTCTGGGACCAGGACAGCCCGCGCTCTCTGTAGGCGCCGCACCGCCGTCGCCCGCGCCTCTAAGGTCTCACCGCTTCCTCTGCAGAGACCTGGGCTCAGCCGCCATGTCCGCCACGGACGAGGTTGACGGACTGGGCGTGTCCCGGCCGCACTATGGCTGTGAGTGCGGGGGTCTGCGGCGCGGGGGGTTCGGGGCTGGGTTCTCTGCTTCCCAGGCGCCGTTTTCCCGGGAGGGGGTCGGCTGGGCGGGTGGGGCAGGGCGGCTGTGGGCCGCGCGGACCCGGAAGAGCCGGGGCGGTGGGCGGGAGGGGCGGCGGGCGGCGCGGCTCCCAGCCCGCGCCCCTCGGTCTCCGAGGCGGCGAGGGGGACCCAGGCGGTCTCCACGCTTTCGCCGGGGCGTTGCGGCTGGAGGGCCTCACCCAGCGCCGCCCACCGCCCAGCTCGGCCGTGATTGAGGGGGACGGCCTAGGGTGAGGTGGCAGGAGGACCGTGCAGGGCGTGTCCCGGGGCCGGAGGCCAGGGCTCTGCTGCTTCTCGGAGGGGAGCTGCTGCCGCCCTTGTGCCGCGGGCGAGGGAGACCCCGGGTCCGGCCCTGGGCGAGTCACTTCAGCTTTTTCCGGCTCAGTTCCCTCGACAGGATTTCAAAAGTAAAAGCTTAAAACGACGACAGCAAAAAAAAAAAAAAAAATCCCAAAAAACAAACAAAAACCCCCTCTGACTTCCTCATTTTCTGTAGCTGTCCCCGGGACGTCATTGAACTGCAGGCAGCATAGTTAGTACTGGCCCAAGGAGAGTCCTTTGGAGTCTCGACGTTTTCGGTTTTCTTTTATATTCTGGGAGTCATGTTCAGTTTTCAGGGTAATTTCACGCACCAACAGTTACAAGTGTGTTGTGTCACTTCTGTGAAATTCAAGGTGAGTAAGACCAGGCCCTGCCTTCAAAGAGCGTTTTAATCAGAGAGAGAGAGAGAGACAGGTGTACAACCCAGTGATAATAAGGTACAATAAAGATAAAAGGTGCGTGCACAAACTCGGCATAAGCAAACGGCACCGTGGTTGGGGGGCGGGCTTGGGGAAAGAGGGGACCCGCGGCAGTGACAGTTGAACAGAGCCTTGAAGTATGCTGGCAGGTTTGGTGGGGCAGGGTGGGGCGGGAGAGGTGACTCAGAGTGGGGGGAGCAGGAACTACGGTACTGAACCTCGGAAAGGCGCCGGGAATTGTGGTGTGGAGCGCAATGCAGAGGGAGGGAGGGAGGGAGGAGAGTTTCCAAAAGTAGTTGGAGCTAAATTGGGAAAGGCCTCGAATGCCATCCCAAGGAGTTAGGGATTTATTCCATACCCTGGGTGCCCATGCAGGAGGTGGATCGCTTTGAGGTTCGCCTCACGGGCTGTTGGGATGGGCCGCCCAGGGGTGGATCCAGGCCCCACCGCTTGCTGGCTGTGGGGCGCACATCGCCCTGCCTCCGTTCCCTCGCCTGTGGAACGGGAGGGATACTCATGACTGTCGTGGGGCTTCCGTGAGAGAGGGCGTGTGAAGTGCCCGGCTCAGTTGCTGCCACTCCGTTCCCAGTGACGGGGCTGCTGACTTCGGCTGTTAGTGAAAGAGGGAAGCAGCATGATCAGCTCTGTATGTAGAAAGAGTCTGGCAGGCGGAGTTTTGGCCCCAGATCTCAAGTCATTATTTTTCAAGTTAAGCTAAAATATAGTGCACATTCATGTTATCATACTTTAAAAAGAAAGAAAAGAAAAGAAAAAGGTGAGATGGAAGCCCTGGCTGGCGTAGCTCAGTGGACTGAGCGCGGGCTGCGAGCCAAAGTGTCGCAGGTTCAATTCCCAGTCAGGGCACATGCCTGGGTTGCAGGCCACGGCCCCCAGCAACCGCACCTTGATGTTTCTCTCTCTCTCTCTGTCTTTCTCCCTCCCTTCCCTCTCTAAAAATAAGTAAATAAAATCTTTCAAAGAAAAAGAAAAAGGTGAGATGGGTATGGCCGAAGCCCCGTGGTTCCTGTGTTAGGAAAGTCTTCGTATTCCTGGCTGGCCACGCGTCTGCCGGTCACCCTGACTCTGAGGCGAAGAGCAGGAATTTCGATGGGGGGGGTGTGGTCTTGGGTCGCTCAGCAAGGTTACAGGTTCTCTTGTTCCCATTCTTTCCCCTTTCAGCCGTCCTGGACAATGAGAGACTCACTGCAGAGGAGATGGACGAAAGGAGACGGCAGAACGTGGCTTACGAATACCTGTGTCATCTGGAAGAGGCCAAGAGGTAAGGCTCGGCTGTCGGGAAAGAAGACCCGGTGAAGGGTGCGGCCCTGGCGTGAACACGGACGGTGACCTCTCTGCGTAGGTTGCAGAGGTGCCTGAGGGGAGCTGGCGACCTGAAGGGATGAGTGTGGGTGGGGTGTTTATTCCCGGGACCGGGCCGCCTTGCCGGCCCTTGGTTCCTGAAGCACCGATGGCTGTTTTTGTGTACTGACAAACGTCCCGACTTGTGTTCTGCGTTCTGCCTATGGTGCGTGTCTGGGGCGCTGCCGGCTGTGGGCACGGGATCGCCTTTTTAGAATTTGAAGTTCTTGCCTTTCGTGTTTCACTGGTTCTTCACTGGTTTTGATTTCTGTATGAGCTGGGTTCCTTCTCTCCTTGTTAGAGCTGTGGGTACAGATAGGTCCGTGCATTTGGCAGTATGCACAGACGGCTCAGCAGCGGCGCATCCTCTGCGTTCCTTGGGGAGCGAGTGTGTAGGCGCTCTTTCCCTTCTTCGGGTGCTTGAAGGCCTGGTGGTCCCCGCGTGTCGGCATGCTGTCCGCGTTCATTTCCGTCGTTTGATTCCTTATTCCCGGATGGCCCGGGGCGCATAGGTGTATTTAATTACAGATCCGGTATCCTATATGGGACCTTTGGTGGAAGAGGGCAGCGAGATATAAGGAAAAGTATCTGTGATCCACAGTCTAATTAATAAAAATCATGGATGTTTTCAATGTTACTGATAAACAGGTTTTTAAAAAAAATTCTGGAAATTTTAAAACCGCTGCAGGAAAGCCCAAGAACAATACAGCACATATCCGTGTATTTCAGGAGGAACTTGAGCCCTTCAGATCTTCCCCTTTCCTCTGAAAAAGACACAGTGGAGTTCCCTTTGTGCCCCTCCCCGGTTCCATTCCCCTTCTTCCTGTCCCTGGGGCTACCCCTGGCTTGCGTTTGGTATATCCTTTTGCATCCATGCTTTTCTGAGCTTGAAGCCCTTCCAGGAGACTGGGGGAGGGGTGGAATGGGATGAGTGATGATTTCGGTGGGGAGAACTGTTGTAAATGGAAGGTTAGACACCAGACAGATATGTTATTAGAAAAGCAGTTGGTTCTTATGCAAAGTTTGTAAGGGCCCCCTGAACAAGAATGTGAGGTCCCCTGCTCCTTCAGTCCTGGACTAGGTCTAGTTTTGGAAGGTCAAGGAATTTGCAAGCTGCAGCGGGCCTCAGAGACCGGCCTGCGCTCGGTGCTCGGTGGAGCCTCGGAGATGGGCAGGGGCAGGTGCCCTCAGCTCACCTTCCGGCCCGCATCCAGAGCAGTCCCGCCTCAGTGTTAATATTGGGTTTCTGCAGTGAACTTTCCTTGCTGCAGAGGGTGTCTTGGCTGACACCCTCTTGCCACCGCTAATCTAGTCCAACCATCTCAGTTCAGTGCTGGGATATTATAGCCTGAATAGAATGATGCTTTTATAATCACATTTCTTCTTCAGTTGCTGCCCTAGCAAGGCATTTCGTTTGTCAGGTGTTTTTCCAGCCTGGGAAGTAGCCCATTTCCTTTAAAACCCATGCGGGGGGCCATGAGCCCCGGGGGTGTGTTTTAGTTGGGTGTTTTCGCATACTCAGGAGGTGACTAGTGCAGTGAGACCTTTGTGATAGTACTTATTTCTTGTGCTTTGATTATAAGGGAGCATGTGACGGTGGCATATTGGCCCTGGAACACTCCGCCTGCTGGCCTGACGTTGTGGAAGTATGCCTGCTTTATTTAATCGAGTCGATCATATGAAACCTGGACATGGTGATTTTTTTGTTTGTTTGTTTGTTTAAAGCTTTGATCAGAAACTTGATTTTGGAAGCACCTATTTCGATGTTACAACTGGTCGGGGTTAGGAAAAGAAGCCCGGGAATGTCATGCTGAGAAAAGAGGTCTGGGTCCCTCCCGGCCACCTTCTCTGGCTGCTGCCACCCCCAAGAAAGTGTTGGAGGTGCACTGCACACGGGGTCACATGCTCTTCCTCGGGAGCCTGGGGCTTCAGCGCCCGCCCGGGGAGTCTCCTACCTTGGAGAGCTGGGCTGTACCCGCTGTGCTGCGCCAGCCTGCTCTGCCTTTTTGGATTGGCCCCATCCTGTTTCCTTCCGACCTCCACCCTCCCCTGTGGGAGGAGGCCCGAGGTCCGGAATTTGCACCGGCTCCAAGGCCAGGAGGAAAGATCTGAGAGATCCAAGGGAGAAAAGGTTCCCCTCTTTAGTTCTATTTATAAGACTGCCGCTCCTCCCACTGAAAGCTCCACCTGGCAGAACAGGGGCCCCATTGTGCCGCCCAGGACTCTCTGTCTTCTCCTGTGCCCGTCACCGAGCTCGTCCGCGGGAAGAGCGGAGGGAGTGCAGAGACTGAGTGTGAACGTGTGGAGACGGTGTGTGTGCGTGTGCAGAGACAGGAGAGTGCGGTGTGGGCGCGGGTGTTACCCCAGAAAGCTGACCGGGAAAATGTAGGAGTGCTCCCTCGAGTGGGTGCCCTGGGAGTGGTTGGGAAGTAGGAAATACAGAGGTTCTGCTTTCCTTTACCTTCCGGAGAGTCGCTTCAACGTGGAAAACAAGTTGCTGCTCTGATGAAACACCCTCTAAGGGCACAGGGCTGTTTGCTAAGGGCTACAGAGCCGATCAAGGACTCTGTAAGGGGAGACCTCTCAGGTTACTTGTTTGTGCTTAAACGTGGGTTTGCTTTTCTCTTTCTGCCTATTCTGAATGGGCTTTACGTTTGTTCTGGTTAAGGAGTAATAGAGATGAACGGCATTTTCACTCAAGAGGAGAAGGTGAGACTTACATATGTGAGGTTTAGCAGGGATTCAGGGCTTGCCCAGGCAGAAGTACTAAATCAGGAAAAAATAGATCAGGTGACAAAAATAGATCAGGTGACCCAAACCGAGGAAGGGCAGGTCCCGGGGAGGGCACCCCGAAAGGGAGGGGGGCGGTACTGGACTCGGGACTGCAGGCAGTCAGGTTACGGGGCAGCAGGTTAACCGGAAGCAGGTTAATTCCTGCCCTCTTCCAGCGAGCATTCCTTTTCGCAGAGGCTCGCCGGCGTCGCGTTGGAGCCCGTCGTGGGCCACCTTCCTCCCGCCCAGTCTCCAAACCCCAGTGCCAGGGGCAGGGCACACCCTACCTCGTGGAAGGGAAAGGAAGGGCTGTGACTGGCTGCGTCAGAAGCCGCACGGCGCTAACAAGAGCTTAGCGCTGAATAGAAGCACTTCAGCTTCTGTCGTTTAGGGGAGCTGAAAAAAGTGTCTTGGAAAGAAATCAGGTCTTAAGAACAAACTCTCTTTTGTGCACACGTCCTTGTTGACGGCGTGGAGCGTTCTCCGGGATGGGCTGCTCAGGTCTCTTCTCCAAGTGGGGTCGCGGCTCCCGTGGCGTCGGAACAGATCCCGGCTGGCCCACTGCGATCCTGGAAACAGGAGTTGCAGACACCGAAGACGCGAGAAAATAAAATGGATAGGCGAGGTGACTGGGAAGCTTGCCCACCAGCTTCTAGAATTTTCCAGTGGGGGAATATCATTTAAACACTGAGGGGGATCATTTTTAGGAGGCGACTCAAGTTCTTTTACAGATGAGAAAACTAGTTGAATCGCCTGGGGAGACCCAGTGTGATGAAGGGGCTCCATGGCACATGACTACTTAGTGGCACGTTGGGGACCGCCAGCTGGAGGCATCCGTGCATTCATAATTGGCGAGGGAGGAAGTGTGGGGTGGGATTATTCTTAGCTCTTACAACAGTGACAGAAATAAAAACCTCTGTTCTCTTTTCTGAAACTTAGTGCAGCTGCCTTAGACAGACCCCTAGGTAAGAAGTGGAAAAGCCTGTAAAAACGATTTGTTGTAAAGTGATTCAAATGAAGAGCCCATTCCCACAGTTAGCAATGTGATAGATGGGAAGAAGTTAGTTCCTAGTGCAGCCACCAAAAGCTGTTCCTACCCTTGTAGCTGAGACAGCAAAATTCACATTTATGAAATGCGGGCAGTAATCTGGTAAATATTAGCAGTCAGCTGGCTTGTTAGTAGCTATTGTTACTACTAACGAAAGTCATATGACGCTAATCCCATAATGCTAATAATGAAGGAAAGCAGAACTTGAAAAAGTCGAATGAAAACGTCTTTGAAAGTCTGGACTCCCACGATCTCGGCGTAAAAAGAAGGAGGACTTTCGGTTTTGGCAGGTGTGAGTTCTGAGTCTGGTTTTGCAAGTTGCTTTACCTCAGGGAGTGAGTCTAAATCTGTCCTTGGCAGCGTGGACATAGCATGCATCTTGGGAGCCGCTGTGAGGAGTCGCCGGGCCCGGCGTCTGAAACACAGCAGTCACTCAACGAACATGCTCTTCATCCCAGTCCTTGGGGGCAAAAGCTGACTTACTGTCAAGAGGACGAGGTGTTAATAAACTTTTCTGGGGAATTTTCTGGGCACTTTCAAGGTCCTGAAGGTTGGCAACCCTCGTGTTTTCACTTCAGACTTAAAGTTTTTGTCTTAAAAAGGAAGCACCACAGAGAGAGACTGCCTCTGGGGAGTGCAGTGTGGGTGGATGGTGTGACCCACACTTTTTATTTGATGCCCTTCTGTTTATTTAAAACGTTTTGTGCAGTGACTGTGAAACACTTTTAATTTTCTTTGATGGATTTGAGAGAGAGAAACATTGATTTGTTGTTCCACTTACTTATGTCTTCATTGGTTGATTCTTGTACGTGCCCTGGCTGGGCATCAAACCTGCCACCTTGGTGTATTGGGATGAGGCTCTAACTAACTGAGCTACCCGGCCAGGCTAAATATGAATTTTATAATAAAAAAAAAAGGAATTAAGAAAAGGGGAAAACTGTCTACGTACATAATTTTTAGATTGCTGTAATCAGAAATTCAGATTTTTAACATTGCTATAGTGTTGTCTTAATTACTGTTTTCAGTGGGCATGTAATGTTCACAATGGATTCATTCTAGTTTAATGTTACATTGCTTTGGTTGCTGGAAAGGTTCAATAT